CCCCCCAGGGCCCCCCCCCAGGATTCCTTTTCCCCAAAAAAAAAAAATTGGGGGGGGGGGGAGACCATATACCCGTGGCCGAGCCAGATAAGGCCATGGAGGATCGGCCATGGAGGATCCGCCATGGCCTCCTGAGTACCCTGATCCGCCATGGCCTCCTGAGTCCCCTGATCCACCATGGCTCCCTAAACTGTCTGCTCCGCCATGGCTCCCTGAGTTCCCTGCTCCGCCATGGCTTCCTGATCCGCCCTGGAGGCTCTCCTTATCTCCGCCCTGTTCCAGTCCTGCATAGTCCTGTTTTGTTTATTTTGAATTAAATTCTAGTTAACGTATTCTCCAGCGTCTCCTCTTTCCTCCCTCCCCGAGTGACCGTGACAACTATTTGAATGTATTGCAAAATGTAGTTTATTCCTGTGATTAAAACCTGAATTTTCCTCATCATTACTCCAGTCTTCAGTGTCACATGATCCTTCAGAAATCAGTTCAAAAGAATATTTATTGGCAATAGAAAGATTTTTAAACCTTATAAGTGTCTTAGTGATCCTTTTAATCAATAAAATAATTTATTTTTTTTTAAAAAGAATACCACTAACCTGAAACGTTTGACCGCTACTGTGGATTCACATCAAATTCAATTGAGATTCTACATTCTGTTTGTTACCCCAATTCAAATTTAATCCAAATTCAAGCATTCTAAATGTAATTCAAAATGACGCACAACAATCGCATTTAAATTCACAAGTGAATGTCTGGAAGTTACAGATCTGTATGTGTACAGACAGCAGTGTTTGACATAATGCTAATCACAATATCACTTTGACTTCTCGCAGCTGTAAACTACAACCATGCATGTAACACGGCATGTTCCAGTACAGTACATAGGCAGAGTGAGGCCAGCCCTAGTGCTGGGACTCTACACGCAACAGCTCTTTAAAAACATAGATCGGTAAGTAATGATTTTGATGGATCTCAGCAAAGGCCTGAATGAGTTTAAGCTCTCAAAAGAGCAGTGAAAAGCGTGGTGTGAATGCGGCCATAGAAGCATTAAGAACATAATCTTTCTTCAGTCAGCAAGTGCCGCAGGAACCTGGGACGAGCCACTGATAGCTCCAACAAAGCTGTGAGAGGGGAAACCGAGGCACACCTTGTCAAGCCTTAATTTGCTTTGATGCATTCCCGCTGCCCCGAGCCATCTTGGCATGCAAGCTGAGACAGATGTTGCTCCTGTACGCCGCATCCTTACAGAGAGCTGCTTTTGTACGCTGGCGGAGATCATATTTAACCCAGCGCAGGGGGAACAAAGGCCGTCTCTGTGTGTGCTGGCTCTCCCTGCGAGCTCTTCGGGCCCGGGATGACAGATAGTATCTGACAGGCTCACAGGAGTCATTTTAACAAAAGGATTTTCTTTTTCTTTACTTTTTTGGATCCTGAAAATTACAGTACGCTAATAAACCCTAATCCCGAGCCGGGAATGCTGTGTTTTGGCTGCCGTGAGTAATCTGTTGTAGTGAAAAGATGAAGATCGGGAGCAAACCTGTCTCGCTGACAGAAGGATTATTAGGCTCTATCACAGCTCAGATACTGGCGGGTTCAAATTGTGTTGGATCCCAATAAAAGGGACGAAAAAAGGTTAAATCTGTCTAAAGCAGCCAAGAGCTGAAAGACACCGAACTTCAAAGGACACGTGTGACAAAACGGAAAGTGAAAGACGTAAAAGAGAGAGATGGCGATGGAGAAGCGAAACACAATAAAATCTGTGCAGATGTGATGGGCCAAAACAGTATTTGGAAACAGAAGTAAAATGTCTGTTTTTGTCTGTATCTGTCAAATTCTGCACAATCTTGTCTCTTAACTAACCTTTTTCATCGTTTTTGGTTAGTGTCTTTTAATCAACTGGTGATTTGGTCATTTTTAGTTAGGGCTGTTAGCTGTTAGCTTTTGGTTAGATTTAGGGATTCATTCGAATTTAATGTTTTGCAACGATTTTATTTTTTAGAAATCGAGGAATCACGATTGAATAGAAATATTACCAAACATTAGAAATAGACACTTTGACAATATGCCAATGATAACAGTAAAGAGAAAAGATTGTCATTAGAGATACAGTAGAAAGGGCCGTTCTTGAGTTGATAAACTTTGCTTTACTGCAGCAGATGCAGTGAGGTGTTGTTGTGTGGACTGTTTGTACTTAATTACGCAGGCCTGCTTCCAGACGCTCGCAACAAACACTGTGTTTACGAACCTGTTCTGATATATCACTAGGTGACATTCACACAGAATTCACTTTTGTATTGACAAAGATGTGATGAGGGCTGTGGAATAGGAAAAAATTTTAACTTGAGCGCAGCGTTTTTATAATGCCGTTTCATGCATGAGATGCTGCAAGAGATGCGAGTGCCACAGTCAAACACATCCATGTTTACATAGAAAAAAAACAATAAAAAAGCAGCTCAATCAAATAAAAAACCTGTAAAGAACTACTACTATATGTATGATATTTCATGTTTGCATCATGGTGATAGGTTGAAAGCTGCTGTTCATTGTTTTTACAGAACATTTATAGTTAATAATAGTCTACTGGTGTTATACATTCAGTCATTTTGAATTTGAATTACCTTGACTTTTGTTCATTTTTTTAAGCATTTTCCTTGTATTATTTCTGAACATATAGTACAAGATGTAGTTATAGTTCATGCATCTTTTCTGCAAAGATATTTAAAAAGTGATTTGTTTAACATTTACATCATGTTGACAACTTTATGTGTGGTGCACTTAGGATAGAATTTTCTTAACTAGAGGGTTAATAAAGAAAAAGTTACTTGAATCATGTTGTAGTTACAGTTTCAAGTTGACTAGTTAAAAATGGTAAAAATCGAGAATCGGCCAAACGTTCTGAAAAAAATCAAGATTTTTTATTTTTGCTGTTATAGTGAATGCATGAAGCTCTGCTCAAGTTCACACTTGAGTGTGAACTTGAGTTCCATATTTGCTCATCAAAGCGTGATTGATAAGTACCTGGTGACCAGCACAGCCACGTCCACAGGAGGAGGATCGTCTCTGCTCCCAGGAACGTGATTGTTTCCCAGGTATCGTGTGCCGTATTCCTCATGCTGCCAGTGACAGAAGCTCTCCAGGGCTTTTTCTCCATGGTGGCCCACCTTCAGCTTTTCCTAAGAAACACACTAGACAATTAGAATATGGTTTATAGACTTCAGCAAAACTTTAAATTAGATACTTCCCACTGTATTTGTAAGAAGGTCTGCAGTAACATATTCTTCTGTGGTCATTTGAACACGATCAGAGCATTAAACGTCAGTCAATTCACCTTACACGCAAGTGTACTGTGGGATTTTTTTTTCTTCTTCAAAACAGTAAGACATAATGAATGGGCTGTAATTCTGTCCCATTCTGCTGATTGGCTTCATCACCCTGTCTCCTCTCCACCAGTAAGCTGGTGTGTGGTGGGCGTTCTGGCGCACTATGGCTGCCGTTGCATCATCCATGTGGATGCTGCACGCTGGTGGTGGATGAGGAGATACCCCCTGACAATGTAAAGCGCTTTGAGTGCCTAGAAAAATGCTATATAAATGTAATGAATGAATGAATGAATAATGAATGGGCTGTAATTCTGTCCCACACAGCCTCATTTTCTTTAGCCTCAAATTAAATATGACAGACTCCCAGGGACAAACGGTTTACACTACTAGTCAGTGGATTTTACTTTAAAGACCCTATAAAACTGATGAGAATAGTATTTCCTATTGAAACAGTAAAAGAGGCACACAAATCAAATTTGGGTTTAAAGAGCCTTTAGACGATAGTGTTTACATGAATCATGATTTGCTGCTTTGCTACTTGCTAGTTATTAGAGAGAGTTTTATTGAACAAATGTTTGTTGATAGTAAATGTTTCTTGAGCAGCAAATCAGCATATTAGAATGATTTCTAAAAGATCATGTGACACTGTGACTCCCGCTGACATGAAGTGGGACTTGTTGATTCATCGATCACACAATGAAATCAACAGGGTTTTGAGAATTGCTGTTGTACGTGAAGACAGTTTGTTTCAACCATCAAAGACTGTAAGTCCAAAGGCTTTGCCCTGAAGCATCACTACATATTTACACTAATGGCTATTCAGTGACGTCCTGGCATACATCATTTCAGACTTTTGAGGTGAGCACTCAAAAAACCTTCTGGCAGACTCTCCGGAGCCTTTGGAGAGAATGAAATCCAGCAATAAAATGGGAAAACCGGTTGTTAAACACACACACAATGAGCGAGGATAACATCACAGGAATAAAACATCAAGGGAGCAGATAAGTTACAGTTTCAAGTTGACTAGTTAAAAATGGTAAAAATCGAGAATCGGCCAAACGTTCTGAAAAAAATCAAGATTTTTTATTTTTGCTGTTATAGTGAATGCATGAAGCTCTGCTCAAGTTCACACTTGAGTGTGAACTTGAGTTCCATATTTGCTCATCAAAGCGTGATTGATAAGTACCTGGTGACCAGCACAGCCACGTCCACAGGAGGAGGATCGTCTCTGCTCCCAGGAACGTGATTGTTTCCCAGGTATCGTGTGCCGTATTCCTCATGCTGCCAGTGACAGAAGCTCTCCAGGGCTTTTTCTCCATGGTGGCCCACCTTCAGCTTTTCCTAAGAAACACACTAGACAATTAGAATATGGTTTATAGACTTCAGCAAAACTTTAAATTAGATACTTCCCACTGTATTTGTAAGAAGGTCTGCAGTAACATATTCTTCTGTGGTCATTTGAACACGATCAGAGCATTAAACGTCAGTCAATTCACCTTACACGCAAGTGTACTGTGGGATTTTTTTTTCTTCTTCAAAACAGTAAGACATAATGAATGGGCTGTAATTCTGTCCCATTCTGCTGATTGGCTTCATCACCCTGTCTCCTCTCCACCAGTAAGCTGGTGTGTGGTGGGCGTTCTGGCGCACTATGGCTGCCGTTGCATCATCCATGTGGATGCTGCACGCTGGTGGTGGATGAGGAGATACCCCCTGACAATGTAAAGCGCTTTGAGTGCCTAGAAAAATGCTATATAAATGTAATGAATGAATGAATGAATAATGAATGGGCTGTAATTCTGTCCCACACAGCCTCATTTTCTTTAGCCTCAAATTAAATATGACAGACTCCCAGGGACAAACGGTTTACACTACTAGTCAGTGGATTTTACTTTAAAGACCCTATAAAACTGATGAGAATAGTATTTCCTATTGAAACAGTAAAAGAGGCACACAAATCAAATTTGGGTTTAAAGAGCCTTTAGACGATAGTGTTTACATGAATCATGATTTGCTGCTTTGCTACTTGCTAGTTATTAGAGAGAGTTTTATTGAACAAATGTTTGTTGATAGTAAATGTTTCTTGAGCAGCAAATCAGCATATTAGAATGATTTCTAAAAGATCATGTGACACTGTGACTCCCGCTGACATGAAGTGGGACTTGTTGATTCATCGATCACACAATGAAATCAACAGGGTTTTGAGAATTGCTGTTGTACGTGAAGACAGTTTGTTTCAACCATCAAAGACTGTAAGTCCAAAGGCTTTGCCCTGAAGCATCACTACATATTTACACTAATGGCTATTCAGTGACGTCCTGGCATACATCATTTCAGACTTTTGAGGTGAGCACTCAAAAAACCTTCTGGCAGACTCTCCGGAGCCTTTGGAGAGAATGAAATCCAGCAATAAAATGGGAAAACCGGTTGTTAAACACACACACAATGAGCGAGGATAACATCACAGGAATAAAACATCAAGGGAGCAGATAAATGGCAGGTTGAGTCATGATGTACATAGATCTGGATGTTGATCTAGTGTTTGTACACTTACTGGACGGGTGTGCAGGAGAACCAACTTGGTGACCCGGATGTGGATCCTCACACTCAAACTCTGGTGTTGAAACATGTTATACACCTGTAGAGAGAGAACGAGACAAGATAATTAACTTTGACTTAAAATCCACTCAAAATATTTAAAAATGGAAAACATGTAGTATCAGCAGAAAGTTTCAGTGGATTTCAGTAAATTTTTAGACAAAAAGGCAAGCAAAAATGTGTTCATTGCCAAGAGCACCTGTTATCAGCTGATGTTGATATTAAAATAGCCCAATATCAGCTGATTCTTTTGGCCTAGCTGGAATATTGAGCTAATCAATACCATCTAAAAAAAAATTGTAAACTCTGAAGACATTGTTTATGTGGGTTTCACAACTCTGTCTTGTGACTTGAAAATATGAGTGTTCATGCAAAAATTATATTACAGTTTGATTTAATGTCTATTTAAATAAATTGATTCAAAACACTGATTCAATGATTCATTTGCATCATAACTAAAAAAGGGTATTTTTTTGTTTCTTAAGGCCCGTTCACACCAAGAACCATAACTATAAAGATAACTATAAAGATAACGATATTAACGTCCACACCAGCAAACGATATCGTCCGTTTATTCTAAGCGCACGCTCGTCTGCCGCTTTAAAATCTCGAGCTCGTTACAGCAGGATGGATTCTGATTGGCTGTCAATTTTTTATCATTCATCAGCTGGAGAAAAATCGTTTTGAAAGTGATTCCAACGATATAGTTTCTCTTTGTCTTTATTGTTATAGTTGTGGTGTGGACTCTGCTATTCTTTAATATTGAGAAAGATTTTTAGAACTATATCTTTATCGTTATCTTTATTGTTATCGTCCTTGGTCTGAACGGGCCTTTATAATGAAAAACTGTGGGAAAATATGCCTGGGTTGTTTAAACAAGAATTTTACAGTATTTTATCAAATATTATGCAGTATTTAATTAATTGTATTAATTTTATTTTATATATATTTTTATATTTTATATTCTATTTTTATTTCCTCAGGAAATATCAAGAAATAATGTTACAAATATTTATTCATTTATTTAATTAATTAATTATTTAAATTCTATTTATTTAGTTAGTTATTTCAATATTATTACAAATATTCATTTCTTTATTTATTCCATTTTTCAATTCAACAGAAAAAGCTTATCTTTGTGTCATTTCTAATATCTGCCTACACCATTCTGTGTAAATATTCTGTAGAAGCATCACCACTTGTTATTGAAGAAAAAAAAAATTATTGAAAATGAAGTTAATGAAGAGGTATAGAGCTGAACTGAAGGGAGGATTCAGATATTGATGATTAACCGGCATCTGGAGGAGAATCGCAGAGACTGATTTGAATAACAGCACAATTTTCCACAGCGTTGTCGAACTCGCTTGTGAGGAATGTAAATCTAAGGACCTCAGGGAGGACAAAAGGAGGTGTACTTTCTTATCAAATCACACACATCTAGGCAATTCATTCATTTTTACATTAATCTTCATATGACTCACCATTGTCATTAGAGATACAGTAGAAAGGGCCGTTCTTGAGTTGATAAACTTTGCTTTACTGCAGCAGATGCAGTGAGGTGTTGTTGTGTGGACTGTTTTACAGATCAATATTCAGTTTGCTTGTACTTAATTACGCAGGCCTGCTTCCAGACGCTCGCAACAAACACTGTGTTTACAAACCTGTTCTGAATGAGCAACTTGATAAGAGTGAGGTCATTCACTCTGGGACATGACTGAAATACACAACTGAAGATGATTTTTCTTTATTCCTTCCTTTCAAACCTACACAAACAATCTCATAAATCTGAACAATCACAAAAGTTGTTAGGTAAAGTCAATAGAAAGTAAAATCATATATATATATATATATATATATATCACCTTTATTTCAACTAACGAAGAACATTTTTAATACTTTTACTTAAAACACGGATTTATATGCAATTTCTCTAATATCACAAATCTCTTTCATTTTCAATTTTTCCAACCTCTCCAGCAACTTGACTCCATTCTGAAACAACCACTTCCAGTTCATTCAATCCCAGATGGATCAAATCAAGTCTCGTCCAACATTTTATTAATTCAATATCTTGTTTCGCTCAGAAACATGTCAAATTATGGAAATAAAAGGGGTTTTCAATTAGGTCTTTGCCAAGGTTGTATAAAAAATAAGGGTGAATGGCATTTCTTAGCCACAGTACTAGCAATACCCACTCCTACGGTAAACAGCATTTTACAGGTGCATTTACTTTAAATCTTTTACTAAAAGATTATGATTTAAATTCTAACTGGACACCTCAACTGCTGCTTTCTGTACACAGACAGCACACACATTTTTGGAACAGAGTCCATGTGATAAAACAGAGGTGTGTGTTTGAGCTGCCAACTCATGAATGTGTGTCTCACACTCAGCACAGCTGCGGTCAGCAGAGCAAATGTTACGCTCAACTACTATCTATCTCTCTGTCCTGTTTTATGAGCCCATTCTCTTCTTGCCAGGACTTACAGTGTCCAAATGCTCTGTTACGTGCAAAATATGCAGTTTAGGCATATATTTAAACCATTTGTCAGTATAAACAAAATGCACGCCAAATACACTAGCTTAGGCCAGTGCTTCTCAAATGGTTGTTCTGACAGTCAGCAAAAAAAAAAAAACAGCTGAAAGCAAATAAGATACAACTAACCATGTAATTGTTGATAGTTAATACAGCAAAATAAAATGCTGATAAAACTCTGCCAATACCTTTTGCTGTTTGATGTCTGTGCCTCAAACTCAGCAGTATTTTATTGCAAATTCATCTGTTACCAAGCAGAAGCCAAATTAGGCAGATGGCGACATGGACAGGTTGCCTGACATGCCCTCATCTGTAAAAATCATGGACGCAAAGTAAAAGAAAACACGGCCCAGACTGAATTAAATACTGGTTCACACATGCAGCATGAATAAACATTTGTAATGACCACAATGTGTTTATTTATTATTGGCTGTCGAGAGCATGACACCATCGAGATTCATTTGGAAACCAAAATTGTCAATTTTCCCATTCAGCCAGTGTCATATTTTTGGGCCTACGCAGTTTTAACCCTGTAAAGACCACTATATCATATTTGATATGCAAATTTCTGTAACACTTTAGTTTAGGGACCAATAATCACTATTGACTAGCATATTGGCTGTTTATTAGTACCTATAAAGCACTTAATAATGCCTTACTCCTGCATTACCTTATTTTAGATACCTTGATCTTATCCAATACCTCAACTTAACGACTACCTTACTAACTATTATTAATCAGCAAATTTAGGTTTAGTTTACGGAGGCAAAAGTCGTAATTAATAGTTAGTTAGTTAATAGTGAGAATTGGCCCTCAAACTAAACTGTGAGCCACATTTCTAAGGCCAATATAATCAAAACTTAACTGAAAAAACTGTTGCACAAGGAACTACTGCTCAGACATTTTTAGAACACTTTCACAGGCCCTTAACACTACCCTTGCCCCTAATGTATTGACTGTCCTATTTGGCCTTCCCCCAGCTTCAGTTGTATCATCCACAGTGTGCTGCAACATTGCCTTTACCACTTTGTTAGCTAGGCGTGCCATCCTCCTTAAATGGAAACATGCCTCTCCCCCATCACATGAGGATTGGATACGAGATGTATTGCAATGCATCCACCTTGAAAAAATCAGACACTCTTCCAAAGGATCATTGAGATCCTTTTACAAAATATGGAGCCCTATATTGGGCACTATTGAGAACATAACTGTAACATCTGGACCTTCTCATTAGTCTTAGTAGGGGACCATTTGACTAAACTTTAATTGTGTTTTTTTCTTTTTTGTGTGTGTGGCCTTCGGGAAGGGTTGTGGGTGGGGATTTTGTTGTTGTGTTGATTTCTTTTGTTTCTTGTTTTTTCCTCTTATCAGACATCCTGTCTAATTTTGTAACTGAGATAATACATTTTATGTCTGCAAAATTTTATACAAAAAAACTGTTGCACACGTGCCTTCTGTCTGATCGTTCATACTATTTTTAGCAAGTAAAAGGCCTTTTAGTGAAAACAAAAACTAAACTTTTTTTATATTTTGAAACCGTTCCATTTTTTAATATTTGATTATTCTGACTACTATTTCATATGTCAAGCTTTATAGGGTTAAGGACATTTTTATCTTTGTGTAAAATCTAGGTCTTGAAACAAAACCATTTGAGAGCATCTCATAGATCACTCGCACATCACAACCTCAGAGCGCTCATGGTAGTTCTGTCTTGAAAGGATATACATTTTGTTTAAAACCAATTCCTTTATGGAGAAAATTAATTGGGCATTTGCTTTTTAACATGATTGTGGAGTTTTACCACGGTATGAGACTCACCATGTTCATGACGGTGAGCAGGAAGCGCTGGGCGGCCTCAGCTCCGTGATACTGCACCATGTCAACGTCGGCCACCACGACCGTCTCCACCGTGTATTCTCTGCTCAGCCTGATGGCGTTCCTCCTGCCACTGACCTCCTCTGCTCCTTTTGCCCTTTTCTCTTTCTTCCTGTCTAACACACACACAGATACACAAATGCACACACAAGAACTGTTAGGCCTGAGAAATACTATACACTAATGTTCAAACGTTTGGGTTGGTAAGATTTTTTTATGTTTTTGAAAGTAGTATCTCATGTTTACCAAGGCTGCATTTATTTGATCAAAAATGCAGTAAGAACAGTAATATTATAAAATATTATTGCAGTTTTCTGTCAGGATCCTGCCCTGGCAGTCTTGTCTGTCCTGTCTTTGTTTAATGTGTCCTTGTATGTTTTGTGCCTGAGCACATGGCTGTGTCTTTGTTTGTGTTGGCCATGTGCTCCTCTTGTCCTGCCTCCTCGTTTTCAATCACCACGCCCCCTTGTTTAGTCCTTGTTTGTCCAATTGTGTTCACCTGATCCTCGTGTGCTCTACTCCCTTTTTATTGTGCTCATTTCCTTCTGGTTTTTGCTGGTTCGTTTTGTGTGCATTCTCCTTGCTTGTGTCTTTAGTCTTGTTAGAACTTGCTATTCAGTATATTGCATCCAGTCTAGTTTCTCCTCTTGTTAATTCTAGTTTTTATTTGTTCCTGTGTTTAGTCTATAGTCTAGTTCCAGTCTTTGTGGTATAGTTCCTTTATTTTAGTTCTTGATCTTTTGATTTTTGTCCTTTTTTATTTATTTTTTTTCAGCAAGGTTGCTGTCTTGTCTTTTATTTATTTTTTGTTTGTAGTTCTAGTTATTTATTCCTAGCTTTTTCCTTTTTTCATAAGGGTTTTTTATTTTTTTTGTTTTTTTTACTTTTGGTTTTCCTTTTGTTTTATTTCTCGTTTTATCTCCCTAGTCCTAGTTTTGCAAGTTTACTACTTTTGATCTGTTTCTATCTCTTGTCTCCTGTTGTCTTGTCTTTTGTGTGTGTCTGTCGTGTTGGTTCCTGCCCTGCTTCCTGAGTCCTCCCTTGTCGCTGATTCTTCTGACCTGACAGACATTTTGGTGCTTCAAGAGTTACCATCCCCAGGGCCAAGCCTGTGGTTCTTTGAGCTGCTAGTCCCCTTTTGCCACAGAGTCTGGAGTTACCCCCATCCCCGACCAGCCTGTTCTCCTGTCGTGTGCCCTGCCCTATTGTGTGGATTATCTTCCTGCCTCGTCCTTTTGTGTTACCATTTTTTTTTGTTAAACTCTGTTTCCCCCCCCCCCGTTCATTCTGCATCTGGGTCCTCCCTTGCCAAACTGTGACAGTTTTCTAATTTCATACATTTTAAAATGTAATGTATTCCTGTGATGGAAAGCTGAATTTCCAGCATCATTACTCCAGTCTTCAGAGTCTCATGATCCTTCATAAATCATTCTAATATGCTGATTTGCTGCTCAAGAAACATTTCTCATTGTTAGTTAAAAACAGTGCTGTTTAATACTTAGTTACATCTTTTCCAACATCTCTGATGAAAATAAAGTTCAAAAGTACAGTGTTTATTAAATTATAAATCTTTTGTAACACTATGAATATATTCTTTATTGTCACTTTTGATAAATTTAATGCTTATAATAAAAGCATTATTTCTTTAAACCCCAACTGTTGAGCGATAGTGTACTTTATGCACACATGAATGCTTGATCCACACATTGTAAGCATGAATATTAAAGGGATAGTTCACCCAAAAATGAAAATGTGATGTTTATCTGCTTACCCCCAAGGCATCCAAGATGTAGGTGACTTTGTTTTTTTCAGTAGAACACAAAGATTTTTAAACACAAACTGTTGCAGTCTGTCAGTCTTATAATGGAGGTGAATGGAAATCACGGCTTTGAGAGTAAAAAAAAAACATACACGAACAAAACCAAATTAAACCCTGCGGCTTGTGACGATACATTGATGTGTAAAGACACAAAACGATCAGTCGGTGCAAGAAATTGAATAGTATTTATATAGTTTTTTACCTCTGATTCACGCAATGTCCGAACTGTCCTGAGCAGTGGCGCGTCCTCCTGAGCAACAGCCGGCGCCTGACGCGTCTTCTTCTACTTGCTTTATTGCGGATCGCAGACTTATAAGTGCATTACCGCCACCTATCTCTCAAATGGACCATTGGCACTCTATCTACAATCTCAATTAGGAGTGTCAATGGTCCAAGTAGATAAACATCACATTTTCATTTTTGGGTGAACTATCGCTATAATATTCATGCTTGCACAGTAAGAACTGACTGTGTTCAGTTTATGTTTCATGTCTTATCGTCAAACCTGCAATTATGTCAGGAAATGTGGTCTTTGTTACTTAGAGAGACATACAACGTATACAAGAGACGTATACAAACACATTGAGATTGATACACAGGACATGCGGTCCCCAAAGCAGATAAACAAATCAACAACAAACAGAGAAACTCTTCAAACATTACGCTTGTAAAGCACATAAAGCACATTTTGGCTCTAAATAAACACTTTTCATCCTCAGAATTACACCACATATGTTGTATGTGTGCACAATTAGACCTGATCATAACAAAGGCAACAGCTTTACTGAAACCAAGTCCAAACTTTTGACAGAGCTAATGTCCACCAGACGCAAGACCTGACTAGAAGAACAAAGACAGAAATCAAACCAAAATGGTGTTAAAGTCAACATGAATTCAAAATTCACTCTATTTATTTTCTTAATGCATGTTTCTTGTGTTATTTTGATTGATTCAAAGGTGCTTATTAAATATACATATATATATATATATATATATATATATATATATATATATATATATATTCCATTCCAAATATCTAAATATACAAATCAAGATATGTTTACTCATAAATTTACTGTTTTCTACCCAAATTAAGCTTATGCTTAAAACAAGAAAAAAGTACAGAAAGAAAAATACACTTAATTCGGCAAAATCATTTTCTTACCACACTAACAGATTTTTTTTCTTCTAGTTTTAAGCATAAACTCATTTAATTTTGATAATTTTTTCAGAAAACAAGACTCAAAATCTTAAAGCATCTTCCTCCTCAAGTAAATGCATTTTAAATTTCAGATTTTTTAGATATTTGTAATGGAAAGCAAGACACTAATTAAATGCTGTGTAAAATGTTTGTTTTTATAACTTCTTGGTACTTCTTGATCTGAGCAGTCTGTAGTCTGGTTTCGTGTGTGTGTGTGTGTGTGTGTGTGTGTGTGTGTTTACTGAAGACACCTGTAAACATGCCCAGAGATTTGATGATCCATTACCTTGGGAAAAAGCAAATAATGTTTACCACAACACAAGTCAAAAAGTCAAATAGCAAAAGTTTTCTGAAGTATCAAGTTTAGGATGTTGTTTCAAATGGTAGTTTTCCACCATCTGGAGTCCAGTTTTGGTTTGTTTGCTGGGTTGCACAAACCCTCCAATTTGTCCTTAAAAGATCCCAAAATGTTCAAAGATGGTGTACAAGATGTTCTGTTGCAATCCTTCTAGCTATTTCATAAAAAAAAAATTTAAGTAACTTTGCAGTTACTTAATACATATACTGTACACTGAAGGCACTTATAGCAAACACTTTGATCCAGTGCTTTAGTATCACAACTAAGAAAACACTGCGATCAACAGATGAAAGCATGCTATCTGAGAAGCACTTCTGTGTGATTACAAACAAGTGCTACTGCATTTATGTGCTTTGTATTTGAAGCTAGCTATAAATAAATAAATATATTTATCTGCTAGCTTTAAACATGTCAACTTAAATTTTACCTGATGCAATTTTACATGGGAATAAATCAATGTTCACTGTAGCACATATAACAACATGTTAGGATTAGAATAAAATCATACCAGCGTTATTTTTAATTAAAACAAAAACTATTAAGAATTGTTTTTCGTTAATGTTGCCTTAAATTAAACTTTTAAAAAAAAACTTAGACATTTTTTGGAAGGTTGCCTTGGCAAATAACTGGAACAAAACAAAATAAAATAAAGGTAAAAAAAAAACTAATACAAATGTCAAAAACACATAAAAATTGTATATAATTGAAATTAAAATTCAATCTGAAAATATAAAAATAAAACCTAATTCAAACCATTAATATATACAATAATATTATCCGAATAATTCTAAAACAACACTAATAACTACCAGTACTGAAGTAAAAGGCAATTTGGAAACTTATAAAACAAATGTGTTTGTTTAGTTGAGTGTAAGTGGACACATTTTTCCCCCCATAATTCAGTAGGGCTCTGATGGGGGTCCCTCTGATGGGGGTCTCTGCTGTATGTTTACAGGTGTTTGGGAAATGTGTTTGTGTGAGTGTGCACACATTTATAAATGACTAACACAACATATGGTACTAATGTGACACGCTCTTTTTTGCAGCGCAAGCATTTTTTCCATTCTCAGCTGTTTTCAGTCACATCTGACTGGAGACAATGGAAACTAATGGTGCATTGGGCTTCACCACAAATGACACTGAAAAGCACACATTTTCTAGCAATGTGCTGATACCAGCAACAATTCCTGCAGACGGAGACAATAATAAAAAAAAATGAGTGACAACAAACCACCATTAACAGTCAGGAAGCGATCACAAAACTGTCATGTATAGCTGTAATAACAAAGGACTTGTTCGGCTGACTCGGGAGACTCTTCTGATGTCTTAAAGGAACAGCGCACACAAAAATGAGTTCAATCATTATTTACTCACCCCGATGTCACTCAATCTTCTGTGGAACAGAGTTTAGTTTTTTATATATATATATATATATATATATACAATAAAAAGTGACTGGAAACTGGGGCTGTCAAGTGCCCAAAAATGACCAAGCAGCACCATAAATGCAGTCCAAATGACTTGTGGACTCTATAATAGCCATATCAAGTCACTTTTGATTTGTATAGTGCTTTTGTCATGCATTAAGCCCTACAGGTCTCCGTGAGCAGCCAAAGGAAAACCCTCCATAAGATGTTTAGATGAAGAGGGAGAAAACCCCTGAGAAGAACCAGACTCGGCTAGGGGAGTCCAAACTCCTTGGGCACTGCAATAATTGCACATGTGCTAAAGATTATTTATTCACATAGTATGTGTAATACAACCATGTGTTCACTAAATAATTATATTACAATTATTCGATTTTTTTTTTTAAATGCTAGTGGGGAAGATGAAAAACTGTAAACATTAAAATTATAATAAACAACAAAATTGTAAGGATAATGACTTGTTTGGATATTTGACTACAGTGAATCATGATACACCATTCTTCAAAAGTCAATCTTTTGTGAAAAGAAATTTATACAATTACTGAGCAAAGATGCATAAAATGAATCAAAAGTGACATTAAAGATACAATGTTACAACAGATTTCTATTTTTATGTTATTTTTCTATTCATTAAAGAATCCTGATTTTTTTTTTTATATGAAGCAGCACAACCGTTTTTCAAATTAATAATGATAATTAATGTTTCTTGAGCAGCAAATCAGTATATTAGAATGATTTCTGAAGGATCATGTGACACTGAAACTGGAGTAATGATGCTAAATATGCAGCTTTGCATCACAGGAATAAATTACATTTTAAAATCTATTCACATAGACAACAATTACATTAAATTGTAATTATATTTTATAGCATTGTAATTGTAACGAGGAGTCAGAGGCGTGCGAATCCATTTGCAGCTTTTATTTAAATCAAAAGGCAGAGTTGAACAGGCAGTAATCAAACAACAATGTCACAAACAGCAGGGATAATCCAGGAGCGTAAACAGAGGCAGAGCAAGGGTCGTGGCAGGCGGCAGAGAATCACACTAGTAGTAACAGTCCAAGGTAACACAAGAGATCTCAAGACGGGATAAACGCTCAGAAATGTAGTCGGGGCAATACAAGACTTCGCGAATACTGAGAGTCTGGGAGCTGCTTAAATGGGGAAGCTAAGGGGAAACACCTGTGCCAGTAATCAGTCCCAGGTACGGGGTGTATGGGAAAAGTAGTCCATGAACGTTAGTACCCAGGAGAGGGTGCCCTCCGGAGGACGTCGGAGAGAGCCACAGAGGCCTGATTTGTGACAGAGCCCCCCGCGAGCGGCTCCTGAAGCGAGGAGGTGAACAACGCCGGGGCCTTCCACGGGAGTGAGGGGCTGGTTTGTGAGGGTGGGTTCTATGGAATTCAGTAGTAAGTGAAGGGTCCAGGATATCCTGGATATCTTTCCTCAGGACCATACCTCTCCCAGTCAATGAGGTATTGAAGTAACCTGCCCCGGCGTCGGGAGTCCAGGATTTCCCGTACCTGGTACGCCTCCTCGCAGTCCACGATGATGGGAGGGGGACTCTCATTCACGGCATCCTCCTGGTCCCTCTCTCCTCTCGGACAACCGGCGGGCTTAAGCAGGGAAACATGAAAGGTGGGTGAGATACGATAATTAGAGGGAAGAGCCAAACGGTAAGATACAGGTGTGATCTGTCTAATGATTTTGAATGGACCCACGTACCTGGGACTCAACTTCCTGCACGGGAGCCAAAGGCAAAGGTCTCTTGTGCAGAGTCAGACCCATTGTCCTGGGGTGTAAGCAGGACCTGCCCTCCTGTGACGGTCGGCCTGTTCCTTGACCCTGCGGATGGCACGTTGGAAGTGCACATGAGTAGTATTCCATGTCTCCTCACTTCTTTGGAGCCAGCCGTTGACGGCAGGGAGCTCTGAGGGTTCTCCGGACCAGGGAAACAGGGGAGGTTGGAAACCGAGTACACATTGAAAAGGCGTAAGGCCGGTGGATGGTTTGCGGAGAGAATTCTGTGCGTATTCCGCCCACAGGAGGAAGCGACTCCAGTCGTTCTGATTCTGATGGCAATAGGCACGCAGAAAGCGGGATGAAGAAGGCTAGTAGGAACATAGGTACGATCGGGGGAACATTCTGGCGGAGGGAGTTCACTGATCTGGGCCTCTGCAATTTCTGTCATAATGTCGCACTGAACAGGAGCGAGAATGAGGTTAGAGGGGATTATGGGTTCCTTGGAAGGAGGGATCTGAGCTGCTTCAAACTGCCTGGAGAGAGCATCTGCCTTAGAATTCTTTGAGCCAGGACGATAGGTTACATGGAAATTGAAACGCGTGGAAAATAGGGACCATCTTGCCTGCCGTGGATTGAGTCGTTTGGCCGATCTGAGGTACTCGAGGTTGCAGTGATCAGTCAGAACCACAAAGGAAAGTTTGGCCCCCTCCAACCAGTGACACCATTCCTCCAAGGCGGCTTTCATGGCTAGAAGCTCCCGATCTCCTACATCATAGTTCTGCTCCGTAGAGTTGAGTTTCCGAGAGTAGAAGGCACAGGGAAAGAGTTTGGGAGGATTACCCTGACGCTAAGAGAGTATGGCTCCGATGCCTGTGTTGGATGCATCCACCTTCACAAAAGAACTGTACTTCAGGGTCAGGATGGTGAAGAATGGGCGCGGAGGTGAAGCGTTCCTTTAGCCGTTGAAATGCCCTGGTGGCCGATGGTGACCAAAGTAGCCGTCGCTTCTCTCCCCTTAGCATGGAGGTGAGAGGTGCTGCAATGGTGCTGAAGTCACGAATGAAACATCTATAGATATTTGCAAAGCCCAAGAAGTGCTGGAGTTCCTTTACAGTCTTCGGTTGAGGCTAGTTGACCACAGACTTTACCTTCCTGTCATCCATCGCTACCCCCTCAGCGCTAATGATGCAACCAAGAAAAGAGGTAACTGTCTGGTGGAACTCACATTTCTCAATCTTGGCATATAGCTGGTTGTCAATGAGCCTCTGAAGAACTGCCCGCACGTGCTGCACATGTGAGTCCAGGGTATCCGAATAGATCAAGATGTCATCAATATAGACTATGACCCCCTGGTTCAGCATGTCCCGGAATTATGTCTCTCTAGCCAGGGCAGGCCAAGGATGATGGGATTCAGAGGAGAGTCAATAGCAAATAGGCGGATGGTTTCCGTGTGAAGTATGCCAGTTCGCAGACACAGATCCTGGGTTATGAACTTGATCTGTCCTGTGCCCAGAGGACGTCCATCTAAGGCTGCCACTGTCACCCGGGATTCACATGGAACAAGAGGGAGGTTATGAGTATTGGCAAACCTTATGTCAATGAAATTCCCGCAGCCCTCAAATCTATCAATGCTACGGTCTCCGTGCACTTATTAAATGTTATAGCAATGGGTACTTCTAAACAGTTAATGGAATCAGGAGTGGCACTCACCGTAGTGTAACTTCGAGCGGCAGGTCAGGTAGGACAGGAGGCTCTCATATGGCTGGATAGGGCCGCAGTAGAGACAGAGACATTCTTCTCTCTCATTCCTCATCGGTGAGGCGAGTGAAACCAATCTGCATGGGTTCTGATTCAACGGAAGCTGCGGCTGCTGGAGAATACACAGGAAATTGGCGAGAGGCACGTCGTGCCCGCATTAAATTATCAATGCGGATGGAGAGTTCAATGAACTGTTCGAGGGTCCTCCCCTCATCACGGCAGGCAAGCTCTGACTGTAACTCAACCGTGAGTCCCTTGCAATACAGCAGTTTAAGTGGTTCATCCTCCCATCCTGACTGTGCTGCGAGAGTGCGGAATGAGAGAGCATAATCCGCAGCCGTGCCTCGTCCCTGTCGTAGAGCGAGTAACTGTTCGCCAGGCTCCTTTCCTCCCGCGGAATGCTCGAAAACCTTTGCGGAAACATCTCAGAAAGCAGTCAAATGATGGAAATGACAGCCGTCTCCCTTCCCAAGCAGCAGTGGCCCAGTCCAGAGCTCGTCCAGTTAACAGAGAGCAAACAAACGAAACCCGACTATCATCGGTGGGGTATAAATGCGGTTGCTGATTCAAAAACATGGAGCATTGTAATAGAAAGCCCTTACATCTTTCCGGTGAGCCGTCAAACTTCTCAGGGAAAGCCAGATGTGGGCTGGTCGACGAGTGACTGGGACTGGGAACCGTTTGTGACGGAACGGATGGAGGAATGCTGGGCTCAGGCATGGTGACACGAAGGGCTTGTAGCATCCTCACCATTTCCTCAGTGAGCGAGGTGAGTCGTTGCAGCTGCTGTTGATGAGACGCTAACATGGAGGCCTGGGCAGAAACCTCGGTGGTGAGCTGATAGATCGCTGCTGGTACCGTGTGTGGCGAAGTCTTCTGTAACGAGGAGTCAGAGGCGTGCGGATCCATTTGCAGCTTTTATTTAAATCAAAGGCAGAGTTGAACAGGCAGTAATCAAACAACAGTGTCACGAACAGCAGGGATAATCCAGGAGAGTAAACAGAGGCAGAGCAAGGGTCGGGGCAGGCGGCAGAGAATCACACTAGTAGTAACAGTCCAAGGTAATACACAAGAGTCTTGGAAAAATCTGATGAGAAATGTTTGATTTCATATTAAGATCTCTGACCATTTTCCATACTTTGGTATTTGCAAATCTGAGCATAGATTGAGACTTTATTAAGATTTCTTCAGAAACTCCAGAGGAGACAATTACTGTGTACTTGCTATAAGAGGAAAATAAATCCTAAATAAACTATATATATATATATATATATATATTTATATTTATATTTATATAGCACCTAATTTGATTATAGCCCATGCTACCTAGACTATCTTTATAGCTCTTCTTCTTTATTAATATTTTGCAAAATAGTAAAGAATTAATGTCTGAATTAGTCATCAGTGACCAGAACGTGACCCCAACAATTCAGGTTCAATGTAGTGTTGAGCAGAACTTGAAGTGAACAGCTCATAAAGCAAAGTAAAATGATCAATGACTAGGCCCAGTTTTAGGGTCAAGAATTAAAAATACCCTAAAATTGATGCTGTATGAAACTGGACTGTTAGAGGAATACATTTTGTCATTATTCTGTCATCCATTACTTACTCTCATGCCATTCTTAGAGGCCGTTCACACAGAATGCGCTTTTTCATTGCAATGTGCAATTTTTAATGTTGCGCTCACGTCTCGCGTTTTTTACACGTCTCGCACATGAGCGCCGCATTTTTAATACGCCAAGTCAAGATGACAGAATTTCAACTTTTACACGAAGCGCCGCTCATCAATGTCAGTTCCAAAACAGTGGACCAATCAGAAGACCCCGGAGGTGGGCTATTATTGCAAGCTTTTGTTAACAGCAGCAAGTTGGCATGGCAACTATTTATTTGACAGCAACATAGCGGAGGAGGCACTGTTATCACGTCTCAAGACCCTCGCACACTCGTACTTTTAGATGCATTCTGTGTGAACGACCCCTTTAACAATCTGCTGTCTCTCTGTGGGACACAAAAGTAGAATAGGGTTTGAATTTTAGAGCTTGACAGTATAAATCACCATCCATTTTGTTCATATTTAAAACAGAACCTCTGAGGTTCTGTCTACCATCTCCTTTCATGTTTCAAAGAAGAAAGAAAATACACGAGAGTGAGTAAATGTTCATATGATTTCCTTTTTGTGTGCACTATTACTTTAAAAGGTGGTGTAACCTAGTAGTTAAAGAGCAAGTGACCTTGTGGTTAGAGCATGTGAAGAGTGCTTATATGTACTTGCATGTAGAAACATGGTTCAGAGTCATTCCATTTTAACTCTTTATGCATTTAATATGGGGGGGATGCATCTGACTCAGTGTTATTTTATTATTAATTAGACTCTTATTGTTATTATTTTGAATTATCTTTTATTTTATATTTTAAATATTAAGTTTTAGAAATGTAGTTTTTTTCATGTGTTTTTTAATATTTCTATTTAGCTTTAATTTTATTTTTTTTTATTAGAATTTTACTTATTTTCAGTTAGTTGCCAAGACAACATTTCTCATTTTTATTTGTTCATTAAAGTGTTACATTTTTAGTAGTTTTAGTACTAGTCTACAAGTACACCACCAATCTGGCTAAGCAAAAGGGCAAGAGCTGATCCAAGAGCTTTTACCATTGTGTTCTTCTCCCTGTAACAAATACACTGTAAGTCGCTTTGGTTAAACGCACCGACTAAATAACAATCAGTCATTATCATTTTGGGTAGATTCTGTTCTCTCCAGACACCAAACTAGTCACTAAGCAGCCCCTCCTCGGTCGTCCCACTTCCAGAGTTCAGTGTGAATGTGCCGTACGCATTAATCAAGCGTTCTTCTTGGATCAGCCCTGTGAATTTCACACGTTGTTTCCTCCCGGCTCAGATCGGTCTTTGTGTCTGCTCCCAGACCGGTGTTCCCTCCTCTCAATCTGGATACGTGATCCTCTTCAAGCCCACTCACGACAGGAACGTACCGACATGAAGAATGAAGCGAAGAGTCTGTTTGTGCCGAACCTGAGCTTCCTGGCATGCTGGCGTGGGAAGAACGGATCAAGGGACGCACGGCTCCGCAGATTACACGGGCCGATTATAAATGCTAAGTGCGTTTTGTCGTATCATATTTCAGTGGGACGGAGCAGGAAGCACTGAGGAAAACCGGCAGCTTTTCCGCACTTCTGCAGCCACCACCGTGCAACCTGATCCATCTTACGCATCCAGACAGCGTACGTGTGTGTGTGTGTGTGTGTGTGTGTGTGTGTGTGTGTGTGTACATGCCCGAGAGGGGCACTTTGAGTTTAATGGATTTAAGGTCTGTCTCAGCGAGTATCCTCCTCTAGGGATGGTTTGGTTTGGTTTTTGGGGTGGAGTTATTGGGGGAAGCTCAACTTTTCTCACTCAACTGTTTTGAGCTTTTCAACAGGAAGAGACGGTGGAGGACTGTAATATTGGGGAGAGACTAACTAAACGTCAGGACGTGACTAGCTTAAGTACATTTTCAGTTGCATGATAGCACTTCTGTTTTAAAAATACTAATAATAACTAGCTGGTTTTCAAGAAGCAGCAGTACAGTGCAACAAAATGCATTTTTTTCTGTTTTTATACAGTAAAATTATGTAACTGAATAATTTGTATCATCATGCAAATGTGTTCCTGAAACTCCCTTCATACAAAATACATTTTTAGTTATGCAGTACTGTCAGTAAGATATTTTGACTTTTGAAAGAAATTAATACTTTCATTCAACAAGGATGCATTCAATCCATAAAAAGGACATTTATACGCTTGCAAACAAATTTATCTTTCAAATAAATGCTGTTCTTTTAAACTTTCTATTTAATAAAGAATCCTGAAAGAAAAAAAAAATATGAAGCAAAAACTTTAGGGACCAGTTCTCACTATTAAGTAGTTGCTTATTAATATGCACATTACTCGCATATTGGCTGTTTATTAGTACTTATAAAGCACATATTCTGCATGACCACATCCTTTAATTCTAACCCATACCTAAACTTAACAACTACCATACTAACTATTAAAAAGCAGTAATTAAGAGTTTATTGAGGTAAAGTTGTAGTTAATATGTATGTGTGTGTGTGTGTGCACGCGCGTGTTAATAGTGAGAATTTGGCCTTAAAATAAAATGTGACACTGAAGACTGGCGTAATGATGCTGAAAATTCAGCTTTGATCACAGAAATAAATTACATATTAACATGCATTCAAACCGAAAACTGTTATTTTAAACTCTAATAATATTTCACAAAATACTGTATTTACTGTATATTTGGCCAAATAAATGCAGCCTATAAGAAACTAAATTTTATTTACTACTCCATACTTTTTGAATTTAAAAATTTAACCAAAATTTAACCCAACAGTTGGGTTAGTCCATATTTGACCCAACATTGGGTTGAAACAACCCAGCATTTTTTAGGGTGTACCTAGGGCTGGACGATATGGCCAAAATTTATAATTCTGTGTTTTTCTGTCAATATGGGGTGCTGTGTGTACATTAATGAGGAAAAAAATTAACTTAAATGATTTTAGCAAATGGCTGCAATATAACAAAGAGTGAAAAATTTAAGGGGGT